ACAGATTGATTTCAGAAAGAAATATTAATCAAATCAAGGAGCACACTATCTGATAGAGTCATTAGTGTGTACTATTTCAGCGACCTCATATTAGCATATACAACAACCAAATTTGAATGGTACCCTTATTGAAATTAACCTGAAATAAATATAATCAAATCAGTAATCATGATCATTTCTATGCTAATCAAAGATTCATTTTAAACTATCCTTCTAGAATAATTCACAGCGTGAATTAATTATTGATCAATGATCATTTAAAATTTGAAAATATTTAGTGAACTTTATTATTTCTTTCAATTGGTTCAATAAAACCAAACTATGTGAAAATATTACTTACTTACTTACGCACTTACCTACTTAATTACTTACTTACTTACTTACTTATGCACTTACTTACTTGCTTACTTACTTACTTACTTACTTACTTACTTACCTACTTAATTACTTACTTACTTACTTACTTACTTGCTTACTTACTTACTTGCTTACTTACTTACTTACTTACTTACTTACTTACTTACTTACTTACTTACTTACTTACTTACTTACATACTTACTTACTTACTTACTTACTTACTTACTTACTTACTTACTTACTTTCTTACTTACTTACGCCTGTTACCCCTAATGAAGCATCGGCCGCCGACCAACAAATAATTTTTTATGGTTAGCGTTTTCTTTAGCGAGTTGGATTTCTATGAAATGGGTTAGCTAACCCAAATCCCACCCCTCCTGCCTTATCTGGGCTTGGGATGGGCAGTAACACTAGGAGACTTTTAATTCTCTTAACATGTATTGATACATCTAAATATCTTCTTAAATAATTAGAAACTTGGGACTTCATAATGATTTATTGATTGTTACTGATGGTTCAAGAAACACGTCAAAATTATCAGAAGATGTGACCAGTGGAGTTCAAACCTGTCGAGTGTAGGCAGTAACTACTATAGACAAGTGGGTGAGGTTGTGCAAAATCGCTAGATTGATCAGAAGTAACCATTTGCACCGTTTGTAATCGACTTAGTGGTCCGGAGGTTAGGAGTTCGCACGTAAAACTGGTCCTGGGCTCGAATATTGTGAGTAGCAGGAGTAGTTGGTGCACATTGCAGATGAGTTCAATACCAGGCCGAAACGGTCGTTCAGTGCTTCAAAGTTTCTACTGTCAATCGAACAATGATTCATTCATGACATCAACGTAGAATAAATCTTAAATATTCTTCAAAAATCATTTTAACAATCCGACCATTAGTTCTTTTCATGAGTTGTGAGAATTTTTGTAGGAAATTGGTGCTCATATCATTATAATAATTCAATTTTCAATAAACATATCACGTTATGAAAACGATATTATATTTTTTAATTTGTAATAAGTAGTATTTTAAAATCTTCGTAAACTAACAACGGTGAGAGAGTATAATTTTAAAAGATTAATTTTAATCTAATGTAAATTTTTAAGTGGAAATTATGAACTAGTCTAAATTAGACAATCATCATTGAAAACCTCAAAACGCTAAATGACCATTTTGTCCTAGTATACGCAACTCATCGGCAGTGCTCATCCGTCATCTCCGCACGCCGATATCCAACTGGGGACTTTAGGTCTCGAGTGTACAAATGCTTAACATCTATCTAGACCACTACACTGATATTCGAAGGTATTAATGTTGAATTTCAATCAAAAAACACAGTATTGAGCAGCCACCGTCATTAATCGTCTTCAGTGGTTAACTGGCTCACATCCAACACTCTTCTACTCCTCTAATCACAATTTCTAACTACAAAACCCGAAATTACCATTCGAAGGCAATATTATTGACTTTAAACTCAGACTCACTGGTCTAAAGGTTAAGCATTCATTCATAGGACTGACGGTTCTAGGGTCCGATTACTGCTTTCGAGGTTCTGCAAAAACATACATGATGCTTAGAGAAGTTCCATACTCGGTAAAAAAAACAATGACTGTCCACTATTTCCAGGTTTACAATGGCAGTCCAACTTAAATTCGCACATAATTTCAATGAAATTTCCATATCTAGCTCACTTGCACTGAACTTTCGAAGTAGTAGCCAAACCTTTCAAACATCATCTTGATTGGCAAAATCAAATTTAAATAAATCTTCATAACGTTGGGATCACCTGTCAAAAATAACGTTGGCATCAGAATCATAATGAAATGCAGCAATGTTGTTTGCGATGCCGTCGAATGATGGTTGCATTAGATGCGCTGGGCTGTATGGAAGGGGAAATCCTCATGTCTGTTAACATCTGCATCAGTTTCAGCTGCTACTCAAGTAATAATTCAATTTTGGCAGGATTCATGTTTTCGAACTGACCGTCGCCAATTATTATGCTCGTTACTTGATATGCTTAAAAACTGCTTACGGGTTCACCTTAGTCGATAAACGAGATCAATACAATGAACCAGTGTCCAGGTAGGCTACTCTGATCAGATGACTCAAAGGAAATAACGAAGAAGTATTGATATAGCGTAGAAAGTGTATTATTCTACAAACACCCACCAAAGACAATGAACTCAAGCACACAAATCTCGTTTAGAGAAATGTCCTTGGTAGAGTCATAAAAATAGCACACTAAAATAACACATCAACCAATCACAGCCAAAGATTCTCCTGGTTGGAAAATATGATCTCAAGGTCAACCGATCAGCCCATGAATAAAATCCAAAAGTAAAGACCCTGCATCAATCAAGTGAGTTCCAGGAGATCCAATATCCCAAACAAATGGAGAGAAAATAAATTTTCTTTAAAAAAAACAATGTTTTCATTTTGCATCTAGATAATTCATTCGGCCTTGTTTGTTTTTATCAAACTTTTTTATCATACACAAATCTATTTACACATGAATGAATGAATGACATGTTTTACTTTTTTTTCCTATCAACAAGATATGATCGATGTTTTTCCTAATCACGTTTTGTTTCATTTATTTATTCATGTATTCACTAACTTTTTCTCTCCCTTATAAACTATTTTTTTTCCTAATTTTATATCCCTTTTTCAAGTTGTTTTTTTTCTGTTACTGACATGCTCA